TTTTGACGTTTTATGCCATACTATACTATGTCGTTTTTATATAGTATAGCATAGTTATATATGCTTTTTAATACCTTCCTATACTATGACTTATGATACATAAATATGACACATTTTCCCTTATATCAAGAGCGATGTTACCACATGTGCCATGTATAAGAGGATATATTATGACATATACGTCATCTGGATATACATTATAAGTTTTTAACATATCAAATACTCATACTAAAATGCAGCTTCATTAAAACAACATGCTTACTAAAATTGTATATGTTTGTATATGATTTTCTTAATTTCTTATTAAATTAATCCATACATGTCTTTCCCTTATATTTACACACATAACGACCATATACTGACAGGCTTTGGAATGGATATATATTTATGTAACATACGTCTATGATATAAACCTATAATATAAACAGACATACTAAAATACATCTCATCTCATTTACTGTTGTTCTTTTTTATGGTCCTCTTGCATGCTCTGTTCTCCAGCACACTGCTGCAGTTTACCAAGGCTACCAGGAAAGGATGCTAAGTTATGTTTTGACATATATATGAACTATATACACGTTTGCAGAGCCACATGAGCAAAGCTTACAGGAGCAGTTGACACGTACAAACTAAAAGCGCAAAAATAAGGAGTGCACAGACCTAGTAGGAGTATTTCGTTACACCCATGTTGTAATTTGAGGTTCAAATTATTATTTTCATTATTTTTTAATCTGGAGATTATTTTCTCGATTAACCAACTAATCATTTAGTCTACGCCAATCACATTTTCCCAGAGTCCTCACTGTCGTCTTCAAATGTCTTATTTTGTCTGAAAACTTGATAAAATTATATAGGTATAAACAAAATGTTATGAAACAAATAAAAGTAGCAACTTCTCACTCAGTAGAGGTTGCAGTCAGAGAATCTTTGGCGTTTTATAGTGAAAAATTACTTAATTGATCGATTGATTATCAAAATAGCAGCCGATTTGTTGTCTGTCAGTTAATTTATCAATTCACCAACTAATCAATGCAGCTGTAGTTGGCAGTGACAAGTGCACTGGAAATAGGTTGTTCCTAATTGGGAGAAAATGGGGTTACCGCCTAAAAATATTAATGAACTAGACTAAAATGTGATTAAAGCTTCCTTCCTCTAATACCTACTGGAGGTGGGCATGCACGCCTCTTTGTCCATACACCTGTGAGGCATTTTATTCATGCACCACTGCTAATAATGTTATTAGCATGCACATGCACATACATTTCACCCTGTGTGAGCACAGATTGCTGTCTGGACCAGAGTGTGCTTGAAACCAACGTTAGACCACTTTCCTCATGTGGAGTTGAGTAGGATTTCTTGGTCTGCATTTTCAGAAAATAACAAATAACATTTATTTTACCAAAGTTTTAGGTAAATAGTCATAGATACAAACTAAATTGCAAATGTGAAAACAAACAAGATGGCACAGGGAGTCAAAACCAGTCTGATTCCAGTCTCTGCCAACTACAGCCAGTAACACAGGTTTGGTAATTGCAGGTCAAAAGACTTCTAGATATTTGGGTTGAATTCAGTTACAAAAGTGAAAGCCTTCAGACTTTTTTGTCACATGTAACTATTGTTTCAACATTTAAAGGTTCCATATTTTCCAAAAACCATCTCAGTGTAGTTTTACGTCTCCTCTCTCAGGCTTCTCTCTGGAGCTCTAATAACAACAGGTCAGTGAGCCAATCAGAAGAGAGGAGGCTCTGAGCCTCTCTTCTGATTGGCTGACTGTTTTCTGAGTGATCAAGTAAAAACAGGTAAACACTCAGAGAAACCAAATCTTCAAAGTTGGATCGTCGATCCAGGTGGGCGGAGATTGGGGCATGGCTGAGGGCTGTGACTGCTGTGTTGTGACATCACAAAGTAACAGAAGTCCTGACGGCTCGTTTTAAGGCACAGTTTCTGAATACAGGCTGTGTGCATTTCTCTGTGGACTGAATGCTTTGATACTTATGGTCATTTACTTTGGTTTAAAACTAACTGAAGATCACCAAAACGCTGCTTCCTGGTAAAATGATCAGATGGATTTGTTTGTGATCTTTCAGTCAAGCTGGTTAACATCCATCTCCTTAAACTCTTGAACAACTCTCAGTGGTTTATTTCTTGGTTGGTTGGTTTTTGGGACCTGGCATTCAGTCTTAATGAACCACACAGACGTTCCTCCCCCTCGAGAGGCCTGAGACACTTTCAGGTGTCACGGTGCAACTGCTTTGTGCCACCTGAGTCTGAATTACATTGTTCTCACCTGCCAGAAAAAAAATTGAATGAAAGAAACAGCCTCTAGAGTCTGAATAAATCATTACAAACATGCCCAGTCTCAAAGCACCTGAAACCCAGTTAACAGTTTTTACAATTTTCTGCAGGTAAAAAGACATTTAGCCTAAAAAAATACATTTGGTGGAAAAATGAAAGTTTTGCAGGTGTCTCCATGTAACTTGTTTACGTATAATGATTGTTTCAGCTGCACTACAGTGAGTTTATTTGTCTGTGGCATGTTGCTCAATTAAAATTAACTTAAAAGCTAATCAGCAGCACAGTGTTTGCTGGGAGAGAGTGGTGCAATATTTAGTAAGAAGAGAAAAATGTCCACATAAGTATTTATTTGACTTCTGTACTTCGGTACACGTTGGGGAGACTTTATCCTTTCCTCCAATACATTTATCTGAAGCCTGGAATTAGTTCTTTTATATTCAATACAAGATAAGCTCAGAAAATGTCACTGTTGCCGGGTAGAAAATCTATTTGTCTCCGAAATGTCAACTCTTTGGGTATGAAGCAATGGAGCCTTATTTTAGTTTGATGGAAACATATTTTTGACAGTTTCAGTGAATTCCTCTAACTGTTTTAAATGAAGGAAAATTACCAAAACTGGTGAAATCTCATGTGTAAAAATGTGAAAATTTCATCTGGATAAAGAGTTGAGATGATAAATGAAATGTGAATATTTTAATCCAGTTGTTTTTCCAGTTTTAGTAATATCATAAAATTTTCACTTGGCAAATTTAGTAATTTCTACCAGTTAATTTGACTCTGACAGGGGCTGTTGTTGACAATGAGCACTTTGAATGCTGGAGTTCATTTTACTGCTTCTACTTTAAGTAGACCTGACCTCGTCTCCACCGCCTGTCTTCCCCACAGGGTGAATGTCGGCTGCGGGCCAGCTGAGGAGCGGGTACTCCTCACAGGTTTACATGCTGTGGCGGATATCTACTGTGAAAACTGTAAAACCACCCTGGGCTGGAAATATGTAAGTCAGTCGGTCCTCTAACTTTCACCCGAGCCCTTTTACTTCCTCGTCTTAATGTTTCCTGATGCACCACTTACACCTGCTGCTGTGTTGTTGTGCAACTGTGCAGTTACTCGGCTTCCGAGTAAAAGGAAAAATTATGCAGTTACAGGTCAAAGGAACAGGGTGGCTCTCATTAAAACATTGCTTGTTAAAACCATGGTGACATTTTTTTTGCTCAGGTTTGTATTTAGGCTCAGAGATTGAGCACACTGTGGTCTCCTAGTGCGCAAGATAATTACAGAGCCGAAAGGTTGGCTGCAGACAGCCAGACTGGTACCTCTGAGAGTCTACAGTGATTAAATGTCAGGCCATTTTGAAGAGGCCTGTCCCAGTAATTGTCTGAAATGACTATAGATGGGTGTAAAATAAGTGAACAAAGTATAAGACGGGCACTCACTTAAAGCAGCTCATTGGGTAACAAAAACAATTAGAGCTGGTTTACAAGGCAAATACTCACAGACACAGACGCTCGTTGACGTCCCGACTCTCCAGACGCTCAGCGGGACTGTGGCACATGCAGCTCTTCACTCTGTCAGACAGACGGTTTAGACATCTGAAAGAGGTGATTTCACTGCATCTCTAAAATCCTGCTTTTCTCAGATGGTAATGAGGCCAGAGAACGTGTTTGATCAAACTGCTGCAAGTGAAAGATTAAAGTAGAAAACCTTTTACTTTTATTTTACATCAGGAGTAAGGAGTAGACACTCAATGGCTGCACCACACAAACAGAGCCAAACACACCTCTGATAATAATGATATTAAAATAATAATAAAAATGATAATTAGATGAAGAGCAGACTGTGCACCAGCAGAATATTGATCCCATCTTCCAGAGTACTATAGGTGCATCATTTTAGACGTATCACCAAAGAGTTTGTAATGAGTGATCCACTGGCAGGTCACCAGGAGTTTTAATATGTGTACTCGTGTTTACTATCTCCATCCTAATATTCTTAGTTTATGTGTTTTTGTAATTAAAGCCTAATCAGCCTAATCATTAATCAGCCTGATTATTATTGTCAGATTTGTATTATTCTCAGGTTTCCACGTCAGTATCAGTATTGGTCAGGTTCTGAGTGAAAGTTGTTCTTGTAACTGAGGTTTTTCTCTTCCTCTGTGTTTTGTGTTTTTCAGGAGCACGCGTTCGAGAGCAGTCAAAAGTACAAAGAGGGAAAGTTCATCATCGAGCTGGCTCACATGATCAAGGACAATGGATGGGAGTGACGCTCCGGTCGCTCTCTTTTATTTTTCTGACCTTGGAATGCTCTTTATTGAACTGCGTGGAGCGACGACCATCGACCCTCCCCTTCCAACAACCACTCCCTCAGAGAGAGAGAGAGAAAAAAAAAAACCAACCCTCCTCCACCAACCTCCACCCGCTTGTCTCCTTTACGTGCACACACCCACCTGCTCATCGTGAAACTGAACAGAACAAATGAAACGAAAGAAAAAAGAAAAAAAAAAACGACGACTAGGAAGGTGGAGCGACTCTTGAAGAATCACGTCACAGGAGTTTCTTTGTCGTCACTTTGAAGATTCTTGCGTTCTCCTTCACAGCTCTGGAGCTTTTGGGTTTGACCCCGCCCCACCCACTCACACTCACCTCGCCTTCCCCCTCCCACCTCCACCCCCCCCCACCGAACCACGCTTACAAGTGATTGTGGTGATATGGCGACCACTGTGCATAAGGAGATAAACTTCACTGAAAGAACATTACTTTGTTGTCCTTATTCCGCCCGCCCAGCGAGACGGACGACTCTGATGACTTTGGTTATTTTAATGTTATTTGCGATAGTTTTAACTTCTGGGTTTGGTAAGGTTTTATGGTTTGATGGCAGATGGATGTTACTGGTTAGCATTTTATTTCCCTGTCAAGTCTGTCATGTTTTGTTTTGTTTACTTGTCGTTGGCTTGTCGTATCTCTGCCTATAGCTGAGCATGCTTTTCTTTGCTAATGTCCAAATGAGCAATCAGGGACGGGTGAGGAGCGGAGGGGAAAGGGAGTTTATTGTAGTTACAAATATGTAGCAGCATTTTGCTTTTTTGTGTGTGTTTTTTTTTAAGTGGCAAAGGATGGGAATTGCAGTAGTGTGGGATTTTATACCTAATATTTTTTTCTGTTTTTATCTTTATTCTTTCTTGTGAATTTCCATTATTTCCCCCCTTCTGGTACTTCTCAGCACTCAAAAAAGCATTGAAAGCAGCACCTAGTATTTGTTTGATGTAAGTATATATATATATATATATATATATATATATATATATATATATATATATGTATGTATACACAAACATATATGTATATATATGAATATTTGTAGTGTTTGGCTAAATGCGATTGTGGCTGGTCCCATTTTGCAGCAGAATCATAAATGAAAGAAACGTGAAAAGGAGCAGAAATAGTTTCTAGACTGGGGAACCTGACATCAGTGTCCACTTGTCATAAAACATTATGGCACACTGTATTATTTCATTGTCTAGTAATGAAATAAAAAAGAGACACAGATATATATATATATATATATATATATATATATATATATATATACATATATATATATATACACACACATACTATGATTACATATCCATAAATACTATGAAAACGTTCGTAGTACATAGATATTGGAACATGGATTCTATATATTTGCTGTCATGCACATATGTATATATGCATATGACTGTGTGTATATATGCACTGTGTGCGGTCAAGCATTACACAGTGGCATACTTGAACAACGCTACTTCGTTTGCACTTTGCAGAGGCCTTCGGTTCATCTCAGTTTAGAGGCAAAACAAAATTTGCTCGCTCTCGTCTGTTTAAAAAAAAAAATGGCCTTCTCACAGATGAACGACAGATTGTTGGAGACGGAGAGAGAAAAATTTTGAGCTTTGACGGTTTGAGGGTTTCGTCGACTCCGTAAGGGACTGTAGTGTGTTTAGCAGCTTTCTGATCATTTGGTTTGACGTCAACAAATTCTGCTTTTCCTCTCAGTTTCAGCTCGATTTCGGAGAGAAACATGTAGTTTCCGATTCTTTGCTACTGTCCTAGAAATCCCGCCATTTCCTCCCCCTCGTGTAGGTCTTTTGCACTTTATGCTTATCCGTCTCTCTCTCTCTCTTAGAGCGTTTGAATTGTCTCATTGTGGATGCCGTCTGCGATTTGCCTCTAAGCCGTATGAATCTTGTGCCTCTTCAAAACATAAACGGCCTCCCCTCTTTTTTTTTTTTTTTTCTGTTGTGCAGTGCATAACTCCGAAACCATGTGAACCGATGTGTCTTCCCCCCCCGCCACCTCTTCTGGTTCAAAGTGGCCCTCGAAATAATGATATTCACCAAAATCCTCATAGAGCTCTGCCCTGTTATTTTGGACAACAGAGACTTGGTATAAATAAACGCATATATTTTCTATGTTAAGATTTAGAGGTGCAAAAACAGATGGATATTCAGTATATTATTTCTAGAAGCATAGAGGAAGGAGGTGTGGACTGTGAGGGAGGCCCAGGGCTTGTTGTTTGACTTTTTTTTATTGGAAGGATAAAAAAAAAGATGGCAGCAGGTCGAGATGGGGCAGGGTGAGATGAGATGAGAGAGATTTAAAAAAAAAAATCAGCAGTGATTGATTACTTTGCCGGCAAGGTCAGTCAGATCACACGACCTTTTATCCTAAAAACAATGACAATGCAAACCCTTAATAGTCAGCAGTGATACCTACTTGAAAATATAAAGGCGTAAACAGCTGAGATATTGGCCCGTGTTACAGTTTTTGTACATAAAGTAACATATTTAAGGTTTTATACGTATTTCTACTGGGTTAGTTCTTTTACTTCCCCAACTTGAAGCACTTTTGTTCACTGTACCTCTGGCTGTGTGCGTGTATGTGTGTGTGTGTGTGTGTATGGGTGCGTGTGGGTGGGGGTGTGTGTGTGTGTGTGTGTGTGTGCATGCATGTGTATTAGCCCACATGCATGCCTGCACACCAAAGTGAACGTTTACTTCCTTTTCCTCAGACAGTTTTATTTCTCTTTTTTTCCCTCTCTTACGTTTGGAAATTTTTATTTTTTTTGTCCTGTTTTCTTTTACAGCTGTTTGGTGTCACTGTCTCTCCCAGTGATCTGAGAGGTCGAGAGCCAGGTTAGTTTGTTTGGAAGTGATTTATCCCCATTTTGTTTGGTTTGTTTTTTCTGTTAGCTTGTTTATTTAGCTTGTGTGGTGAGAGCCCGTTAGAGGGCCGGTGTTTAGGTCTCTGCTGAGCCATGTAGACGTTGAGGGCGAGCTGGAATCTCCCACCATGTCGCAGGGAGAGCCTTTACAAAACCCTTTCACCACCGCAGTCAGTGTCTCCTGTATAGAGGGCTTTCAGACTGATGAAATGCGCCCTCTGGCAGCCACGTTGGAGGTCCTGAGCTGTTGGCAGCGCTGGCTGTGAATATCTGATTGTATTTCCTGAGAACTTTCTCATTTTTGTGCTGGTTTGACGGAAAATTAACTGTTATTTCTCTGATCTATCTGACTTGATTGATTTTTGTGATTATGTTAGCTTCTTTGCTACATCCCAGTTGTGGAGCTGCACCAAGATTCCTTCAAATGCAGGTTTCTCTTGCCCTTATTTGCAGTATTCGGTGTCCCACAATCCACTGCACATCCCTTGTTTAAAGAGCACCTCAGCAGCTAGAGAGGACACTGAGATAAAACCTTTCAGCCTAGAGTTAGGTTAACTCTTTAATGGTGCATTCAAGTGGTCTTCGTCAGTTCGTTAAGTCGGGAACTATGATGTGACCTCATCTGTGTTCCTGTGGTCATTGGTGCTGGTAAACCGGCTACATTTCATGAACAGGAGTTTACTGCTTGGTATCCACCACTCTGTCGGCCATTTCCTGGTGATAAACTTGAAAACTGCTGAGACTGAAAGTTCATTCTTGGCCTTGGAAACAACAACTGACAGAATAATCTTTGTACCAAGGTCCATTTGGTGGCTGTTTCGGAGTGTTAAGTCATATTACATGAGTCGCTCAGTAATGGAACTGTAGATGTTCAAAGTCTTCAAGACTTTTTTTCCTGAGCACTTGTTTGTGTTTGCTTAGAAATCCTTAAAGTGCTCAGAGGAATAGAAATGTGAACATCTATAGCTCTGTGACAACTGTGCAGCTCTGAAAGGTGTTGACTTTAGAAGCTGTTGAGGATCACCTGAATGCACCATTATGGGAGGATGTTGGTCCTCCAAGAGACACACTTTCAAGTGCTGTTAAGGTTGCAGCTCCTGAACTGGGATGAAGCTTCTTGCATCAACACTAACAACAATCAAAACCTTGATGTTTGTCCCAAATCCATAGAGACCACAGCTAAATTTGGAATCTGATCTGCCTTAATATGCAAGTCGCAATTACCAACCAGGCAAGGCGGGGAACTACAGAGGGGCTCTAGACTCCTAGGGGGCCCTAAAAGCCCCAGGTTCATTCCATATTATTTGGGTCTACATACCTTGATTAATCGCATATTTGTCCAAAATTTGAAACTATGACTGGTATGACTGGTATGACTGGACCTCCATCTGGTCTAAAATGTTTAAGCTCGATATTATTTTGTCAGATTGCTTCCATTTTTTCTGCATGTCAAGTAATTAATACACAGAAAACCTCAGGCAAGGCAGCATTAATCTATTGTCTGACAACAACCTTTTATTTTTATTATCAATACATCTGACAGTTATTTTCTTTAATGATTGTCTGGTGTATAAAATGTGAGAAAACAGTGGAAAAGGCCCATTTTTATTTCCTGAAGCCCAAGTTAGCATATTCAGAAAGATATTAAATTTATTATCATAAAAAAACTATGAAAATAACAAATATTTATATTTAAGAAGCTGGTACCAGTGATTTTTTTTGGCATTGCTTAAAAATGGCTGATTAAAAAAACAAAAAAAAAACAATAAATAACTAATCAAAATTGTGTCCAATAGTGGCCCAACAACAAGTCTTTGCCCCAGGGCCCCTAAGACGATAATCCTGCCATGTTACCAGACCATTAATGTCTACTTAAATCGTTACTGAGTGGGCCTACACTGGTCCGACTTTCTTCTCATTACACGCACACAGCCAGTTTCTCCCAAGGGCCTCCAACGTGGCACCAGCAGTGGTTGCTGGGAGATTTGTGACCCGGCTGCAGATCCTCTATACACTCCCTTCAATCAGTCAGTCCAAGTTGAACCAGCAAAAAGCAGTTGCCAGTGTCACCGCCAGTGTGTACCAAATAAGAACCAGGTTCTATCGAATGCGTCAGTGTCATGTGTTAGACGGCAGGAAGGAAGCCAGGGGTTATGTTTGAGTGTCTCCTGGAGATTCAACTGTTAAACCAAAATTAAAGAGGAGAAATCCTGTCACTAATGACATTGTCTTTCTGTAGAATGTTTTGATTCTCTGAACTTAATAGCGTCAAAGCAGCCTGGATGAACAGTGTAGATACTTGCTGCTGAATACTGTTTACTTTTTATTGTTATTTTTGTTTTATTGTGACACTGGCTACCTACT